AAATAAAAATATTTAAAAAAATACACTTATTTATTTTTAAACATGTCCTCATTAGTCATTTAATGTTAAACAATAACCGCTAATTATTATATAACTAAATAGTTATATTTATCGAATCCGCTATTTACCATCCGCTATCCACTTTCCGCTATCTATCATCCGCTATCCGCTAACTGCCATCCGTTACATGCTACCGCTATCTACTACCCACTACTCGCTATCCGTTGAGTTTTAACCGCTATACCAAACAAACCCATAAATACACATTGATGGTGGGGAGGTAGAAGCAACTCTATCACCAAAAGAAACTATTGTTATCATAATTATTGTCATGTACGGTTGTGGTAACTACACATGACACCAATGGTTTAAACTAAAACACCATCAAGTTTGATTTAATACTCACTATATAAGTAGTTTATTAGCAGCTGGATTCGTTTATTTTCCTAAAGTTAGTTCATTGGCCTTGAATATTTTCAACAATATCTAGACTAATGCAGTAGCTAGGATTTTAATTAGCTTATAGGAAGGTGAAAGGAATTAAAGCCTTAAGCCAGCATATACAAAGGGAAGGATTGACATTGGAGACACAGCCATCAAAATTGACAATTAAAATTGACTCTTTTTTTTTTTTAACAAGGTTACAATTTTTTGGGAGAGGGGGAATTGAACCCCAGCCCTCGGGCTGGGAGATGCACTTTACAAGTCGACCTATGACCGTTGGACCGTGAGGCCCAGGTGCAAAATTGACTCCTATTAACCTGATGCTCTACCTAATAAATTATTGGAGATTGTTTTATGATAACTGGTCCTTAAGTAAATAGTATAAACAGTTACTTTCTTTTTTGTGTGGTTATAAAATTATATATATCTAATCAACTTTAAATTTGAAACATATGATTTACACAAATAGAATAAATTCAACTGTTGGTTTTAAATATAATATAAATTGTTCAAAAAAATTATAAATAACTAATATAAAAATTTATATGTGCTATACCAATATAATTAAATCTTGATTATTTTTTAATATTTTTCTTGCTGAATAAAATTATTATGTCTTAAGAATTAGTCACTAAGAATGACACGATGCATTTATTTGGTTCCTAAATACCTTCTATGTATTTGAAAGGTTAAATACCATTTTTGGTCCCTCTGTTATAAGGAAAAGCTTTTTTTTGATCCCTGTACCTAAAAAATCTTTTTTTTGATTCTTAAATTTTAAAATCCGACTTCTTTTTAACCCTTCCGTTAAAATTTTGCTAACCTGTCATGTTAATTAACGAAAACATCTGACATGACTATTTTAGAGTGTGATATGGCAATTTCAGAGTGTGACATGGCTATTCCATGGTGTAAAAATGCTTACACGTAAAAAAAAAAAAACTCTAAAAAACCCTAAAAAATTATTTAAATTGATTGATTTATTATTTGAATATTGTCGTAATGAAGTATTATTTATCATTCAAATAAAAGATTTCAATTAATAAAAAAACCAAAAATACAAAAAACAATTAAAAAATATATATTTATTTCTTAATTTTGTTTTCTGGCTCTATCTTTGCATGTAGGTTACGATTTTGCTATATAATTTAATATTATTTAGGGTGGTTGGGAAGGATATTGATTTTTTTTTTTTCTAATAGATATAATAGTTAAGAGTTAGAAGTTAGAAGTTAATACTTTACTCTGTGACAAGATTCGATCAGTAATCAGAGGTGCAATCAACCGACAATTCTATTGGATTGTAGTGATCATCAATAGACCATAAAAGGGGAAGGGGAATGCGGGAAGGATGTTGATTAGCGTTGTACATGTGAAGGTGAAAGGTCTGACAGGCAGCACATGCAAGGAAAGGATTGGCCCAATTAGACCGACCCACTTGTGCAAAAACAAACGTTGACGAGTGCCATTGACTACTGTTAATGCGTGAAACCAGACACCCCTCCCTCGCCCGCCCTACTTCTTAAGAATCAGCTTGCCTTAATTAATTCTATCCATAGCAGCCATGGCCGAGAAGGTTGGTGC